CAGTCTGCAAAAAATAATAAGCCAGATCCAATTCGAAGATTATGGAACAACGCAATCTGCAACATTAACTGAATTCGATAATTTTAGCTTAGCTTATACCGTCCGTTATACAATAAACGCGCATTCGTAAACATATTTTGCGCATGCGCACATGCACATTCACAGCCGTAAAGGTCTTACTCGCATGCGTCAACGCGACGCATGCGCAGAAAGTTTGTAGCTTTGAGGTCCGGATTATAGATCATTAAGGATTATGAGTGTCCGAATTAACGACTTTTGACTGTATATGGTTTAGCAACTTAGAAGGTTAATAATTCCTTTACTCAGCAGATTTGAATACCTGAGAACTACTTTCTCTTTTCAAGAGTTGACTTCTGCAGGGCAATCCAGAAGGAAATGTGTAGCATCAAATGGAATGCATACACAAAAGGCTAAACAATGATAAGGTTATTTCTTCAGACTTCAACTTTTTATGAATTTAATCCTAAAATTTACTATATATGCTGTGTATGGCTCTTCTTGGTATTATAAAATATTTACATGAAAAATAAATTAATCAATAAATTTTCAAATGCTGTCATATATTACATACTACTTCTATCTGCATCTTCTGGGGGAGGGAAGCTTTTCAAAGATAAAAGATCATTTATGATCAACAATTTTCGAAAAACATTTCACTACTGTACCAAGAATATCAACACAAAATAGAATTGTGGACTGTTTAAATCTAAAAAATGTTATTAAGGATTTTTTAGAGGTAAAAACTATAAAATTCTTAGAAGAAAAAATAGGTAATATATATCATTATGTAAAAATATATTAATAAGTTGTGATAACTGAATTTTCATTATTTGAGATGATTTGCTTTTACGTACCCATAGATATATCTTATATTTACAATAAATAAAAATTTCTTAAAATGAACTTTGTCCTAAGTTTCATATTTTGTTTTATTGTGGTGGTGCTGAAATATAACTCTGCATAAAGATGCAGTCTGCTGGGCAGAATTTAATGATAAAATTGTACTTTCTTCAAGAAAAGCCAAAAACATTACAACACTCTGTTTATTCATTATAACTCAGACATCAGCCAGGAAACCAAAAAGATGAAAAGGCGAAGGACGATGGAGATGAGATGTAGAGCGAGGAAGTTATGTGAAAAGAAGTTGACGAATGAATGAAAAATTTTCATAAGATTTAGCAAGTAATTTTCATCTCTGTCAGCACATGATGTTATGAAGCTTCATTGTATATGCAGTGAATTTTTAAAACCCAGTGACAACCTTGTAAGTAGGTAGATGTTAAAAATCATGTGTCATCATGTTAAGAGAATCACAAGTTTCATGCAATAATATATATATACAGTACAAAGTCTGAGATCTGGACTCGTCGGGACTTCAGTAATCCCAGATTTGGGATTTTTCCGGATATTAGATCATCAGTTTAAATCTACTAAGATGGCATGTAGAAATTATAAAATAAAAATATGAAATTGTGATTTATGAAATAATGAAGCATTTATGATCTAAAGGGTATCAAAATTTACAGAAAAAAGTTTAATATTTATTTGTTTACTTTGTTAAACATTTCTTTCAATGTAAGTTGTTCAAGGTCATTCCCCCCAATACTTTCTCTTTAATTCTGTAGATGGATTTCATTTCTTGTTCAGTTACAAAGTTCCATTCTTCAAGTCCTGCAATTGCTGTGTCAAAAATTCCAAATAGCTTGTCAATCAAAATTTTTTCGTTTCATTACGATGAAAAACTTCTGTTATATCACCTTCATTTATTACCACTTCTCCATTTAACAAGGTCTTTACAAAACCCATTAACTGGAAAATTTCATATTTGGTTTGCAACATCCAAAAAAAAAACCTTCAAATTCATGGCTATTATCTTCATCATCCTCACCATGGAATATGGTAGCTGGGCATAAATTATGTCAAGCATTTTAAAAAATATCTGAAGACATCCTCCCATGACCTTCCGATACTCCACACAGCAGATTTTATGCTAACGTATTTCAGAAATTCTTAAATAGTCTTGCCATTATTCAAGAAAATTTAACATGGACTTTAAAAATGCTACTTTATATATTCACATTTCAGCTCACAAACTATTCCAATATCTATAGGCTGAATGATGGACATAAAATTTGGAGGAAAGAATAATGCAGATACATTATCTTTCACTAAAAACTTTAAGTGAAGTATGAGCCATACAGTCAACTACAATCAGGACAATTTTTGCATCATCAGGTAAACCAACCGAATTCAAATGTTAGAGTCTCGAGGATGAAATGATTTAAAAAAAAAAACATTCATTAATGCTTTTGTCATCCATGCCCTTTTATTGACAAAATATATAACGGGGAAAATCCTTACTCCTTAAAATGCTCGAGGTTGTGCATTTTTTCCAATTATGAAAAGTTCATACTTATCCATTCCTGCAGCACTTGCGCGTGCTAAAATCATTTATCTTGCTTTGGCATCTTTGACACCAGTTGCAGATTTTTCTGTAGTTTGTGAAGGTATTTCGCGGTACATACTGCCAGAAAAAAATAGTTTCATCAGCATTGTAAATTTGTTGAGATAACATTTCACTATTAGTGAGTTCATCTGCAAATATTTCAGCAGCTTCAATATCAGCTATCATGAGATTGGCAATGAAAGACAAGTTGTTTTGCTATATTTTATCTTGCTTCTATCGCGCACTGAGAGAATAAAGCCCGAATTGTATTATTTTAGTTATTTATTATACTTACGTCTATTTCTTGCACATGCTTAAGGCTTATCCGAGTCCTGAATAAATAAATTCCCACATATACATAAAGCTTATCGAGGGCCGTTGTTAAATATCGTATCACCTAATGCAGTCTCTGCAGGTCCTAAATTCTGCTAACAAGTGCCTCCCTAAAATCTATAAATTTTGGGTCCCAGTGCCTTCTCTAAATTATAAAAATTTTATTTCCCTAAATTCTGCCACCCGGTGCAGCCATACGAGCTCTGGCGTTGGTTCTGGGTTTATGTGAATAACAAATCAGCTACTCTTAATTCAAATAGCACTAATGTAATCTTTTGGCCTGTGAGTATCATTAACAAGATCTATTTTTAGCATATGGAAATAAATTTTTATTAACCGCTTGCCTGATTATCCCGAATTATCTCGGGTTCGTATAAATTGCAGTTAATTATTATCCCGAGAAAACTCGGGTGAAGCAGAATTTGTTAGTATGATTTCTTTTATCACGGTTTTACTCAGTCTGGAGGAAAAAGGAAATATTTAGCTTTGATTGGCAGTTTGCCAAATTTTGTTGGTTGTGCGGTTCTTTTAGAGGGGCTGGTTGCTTGTTTCCCTATTATATAGTATACGTTGGCTTGTGGATTAGTAATGTATAAAGAAGGATGCATGCATTGGAAAAAAATAAAATAATGGCCATAATGGAAGATAGCGAAAGCGATGATTTTTCAGATAGTGATTATGAAAAGGTGGGGAAAAAATTTAAAAAAAAAAAATCAAATCCAACGAGACAGTATACTCTGTGCTCCCGTGAAAGAGATTCCAGCGGTAAGCCAGGAAGAAAAGAGACCAGATACCAGTGTAGAACATCAGGTATCACTGTGTTGTCCCTTGTTTCAAAAACTATCATACAAAGATTAATATTTAACTTTTTTTTGCTTGCCCAAGATAACTCAGGATAGTAAACTAATATTAAAAATAAATGCTTTTACACCTTCAAAAAATTAAAAATTCAACTTAAAACCTACATATTTTGATTTGTTTCGTTTCATTGTATTTAATAATAAAATAAAAAAAATGTGATGATTTTTTGCATTTTCAAAAAAATTTGTAAGGGAAGCGGTTAAATTTTTCCTCGTCAACATTTCTTAGCGCATTTAACTTAAATCTGTAATCACTGCCAAGCATAATGTCAACAGAAAAGTTTACCATATTCTTTGTTATTCAATTACTAATATAAAAAAGTATGTTTAGGCATTGCTGCATGAGTCATTACACAAGTTGTCATGTGCTGACAAACATGCAGTGATGAAAGCCAAATATAATACATAATGATTCGCCATTTGGCATCAGGGATATAAAATATTAGTTGGAGTAAAATCAATGATGGTTCTATATAGGATGTTTCAGTCTGAGATGTATGCCAAACAGTTACACAGCTACGAAGTTAAATTAGTGATCAAACAAATTTATGCTAAAATTATTGTTTCTTCAATAACAAGGTATTTTATTTAGCATCGAAGTGAATTTAAGAATCGCGACTCTCTGCATGTTTTATTACAGGAGAGGGGATCAAATGAACATGCATAAAGCACTAGAAGGGGGGGATCCTAAAAGAAAAGGTTGGTGGTGACTTTGAGGTCCGAATTTTAGACGTCCATATCTCGGACATTGTACTGCATATCATAATTTTAAAATATTGTTTAATTTTGTTTCTCAGAAATATAAAATTGATGTGCACATTTTTATTTTAAATAATCAGTACAATATTCAATATTATTCATTTAACTGTGGCCAATAAATCAATAAATATCGATCTGGCATGCTGCAATGTCTACAGATGGCATGACAAAAAATGAAAGGTAGGTTTTACATGGTGCAGTGTAAAAAGTTCAGATGCCTTTTGTGATGTCAAATCACTTGATTCTGTAGACGAAAAGACCATCTACATTCCTAAAGGTAGCACACAAAATAGCACTAACCATAAATTTTCAAAATACTGATGGCACATATTTAGAAACTCTCATTAGTCCTCACTTTGCTTTTATCTGAGAGACATAGTTCAGGTTTGAGGGATGACAAAATCGGACAAATGTACAGTGAGAACTCACAAATTTATGAATGTTCAACGATCTATGGCTAATGAACCACTCAGTTAAAAATGTCTATATATAAGGTACATAGTTGTTTACAAATAATTCATAAAAACATCTACAATCAACAGTAGTTTTTATTGAAATAAGTGCAGTTAAAAATAACTTACATTGTAGTCACATTCTGAAGAATTCCTTTAGGATTTTCTTTAATTTTCATTTCTTGTTTAACTAATTGGTATGGATACAGAATATCCAAGGGTAGCTCAACAAACACTGGTCCTTATGGTAAATAAACACAATCAATATAAATAATTATGCAAAAAATCTAAATATTATATATATAACTTTTTAATTTTACTTTCCAGAATTTCTACGGCCAACTAGAACTGACAATTATGTTATACACGATTATACATTCGCAGACGCTTGTAAGCTACTTCTTTGGCAAGTCCTCAAGTACCATTCTGCTTATTAAATTAGGATAATAACCTAAGATTCTCTTTCATGGAATTATTATAAGACAAAAAAATATTCACTCACATTTTTAGATCTTAAAACTTATCCTGAAATGCGGAACTCCTTTTTATATAAATATGTCTTTCTGCTCTTTTTAAGCAGAATAATGCATCATATATAATACTTTCATTATTATAAATTAGTCACATTCATATTTATTTATTGAATAATGTAAGTAAAATATACTCACCAGGTGTTCCAGAGTAAGCTATCTGAATGGCCTTTTGTAAAACAGGAACCAGATGCCTCACACAAGTAACAGTTTTAGTATATTTGCATATAGATTTCAATAGAGACAACTGATCAATATCCTGCAAAGCTCCTCTTCCCTTAAAGGAGAGGAATTCCTTAAGCTTCTATAATTTGTGAATTTCCCCAACAGTAACATGAAATTTTACTTAATACAACAAGATTCATTCACAAAAAAATATTTAAAGTATTTTAAAACAAAAATTATATACTAATAAATGACACCATTTACTTTAAGCAAACTTGCAGCAGCACCTCCCAACAAAAGTAAGGGAGTTTCAGCCATCTGTGCATTTTTCACAGCAGTAATAGTATTGGTTACACCTAGAATCAGAAAGAATAAAAATGTGCATGAGAAAGACAATCTTCATCAAAAAAAACAGTGCAAAAGAAACATGGCACAGTTAATTTTTTTTTTTTTTTTTTTTTTTTTTTATTTTCTAAGTAATATAATTAGCATTATATTCAAAATAAAACTAACAGCAATTATTAATTTACACAGAATTCTATCAGTCTCAAGGATGACAGACATATGTCACCTCATCAGCAAAAAACTCTCCTGAACATTTTTTTCACCTATGAAGATGACCGGCTTAAATTAGTCACCCCTGAAATTGATTCACATAAAGTTTGAGTTTCAGAAATCTATGACAATTTAAGGTTTTCTAAAAAATTTCAGCAGGATATGAAAGGAGCCAGACTGGGAAAGGTCAAGATCGGGAAAAATAATTTGTCTAGTTAAGGTTTAAAGTTTAAATCAGGTTTTAAATGTCATGATCAGGAAAAAAATTTTAATAAAGAATTTTGGAAAGTTAAAAATAAATTAATTTTGCACAGAAACTGGAATTCTACTATTTCTAACAGTTAATTTAAATTCACTTGCCAGATTAAAAGGTCTGAGTCTGGTTGAATGTACAATTTCTGATTTCTTTTTAGTTAGAGGATTAGGTTTATCAAATTCAAAAGTAACTTCAGAATATTGTTTTAAAATTTTGTAAGGGCCTGAAAAGGGGAGAGAAAGTTGACGAGTATTAGGATATTGAAATTCTTCATACATGACTCAATCACCTACTTTAAAATTCTAGGTTTTTAATGAGTATCATATCTCTCTTTATTTACATTATGATAATCATCAGACCTTCTTTGAGCAATTTTTCTAGCTTCTTCAATTGGTGGGTGTAATTATTGATTTTGAAGTAAGGAATCATAAGGTAATTTTCTATGCATTAAATATGATGGTGGGAATTTTGTTACACAATGAGGAGTATTATTATTATATTCTTCAGTAACATGAGGTAATAATTTTGTCCATGCTATTATTATCTTGATAAGAATTTACTTTACATTTTAGTCTAGTTATAATTGTTTGATTAACTTGTTCAACCTTACCATTAGTTTTGGGTCTATTTGCAGTAGTTAATAATTGTTTTACATTATGATTCTTTAAAAAGTGCTTAAATTTTGAAGATGAAAAAGCAGCATTCCTATCAGTTAAAATTTTCTTTGGTACTTGAATTTGAAAAATTTGTCTTAAACAATTTATGTAAGTATCAAAAGTTACACTTTTAGGAGCAAAAGTCCAAATATATCTAGTAGAATGATCAATAATTATGTGAATATATATTTTAGCAGAATTATAATAATTTAGTCCACCAACAGTATCAACAGACAATATTTCAAAAGGTTCACTAATGGATGATAAAGTTTGCATTAGACAAAGTTTCTTTTGTTTACTCTTCTTATTAAATTGACATACTTCACAATGTTTGCAATAATTTCTAACATCTTCAACAATTCTTGGCCAATAATACTGAGATAATAAATTTAGTATTGAGGACACACCAATATGCCCAAATTGTAGATGTGCTTTTTCAAGTAGTTTAGTACGAAGAGATATTGGGATTACAACTTTACCAGTCCTTGTTTTTTAATAGTTAACACATCATTAATTTTCTTATACTTGGGATTGCCTACATTATCTAAATTTTCATGTTCTTTAATTTCTCCTAATGATAATAAATTAACCTGCAAACTTAAATGTTGACAAATTGGGTTTCTAGTTAACAAACCAGTTTCAATATTAGTAGAACCTTTCTTTTAGTTAATATCAAAGTCATATTGGGTTTCTAGTTCACAAACCAGCTTCAACATTAGTAGAACCTTTCTTGTAGTTAATATCAAAGTCATACATAGGTAATTTTATTAAAGACCATCTAAATAATCTACCTGAAAGATGTTTAATATTTTTAGCCAAACTAGAGCAGCATGATCAGTATGTACAGTAAAATGATTACCATGTAAATAATAATAAAATTTATCGATAACATCAATAATAGCTAAACTCTCTAATTCAATTATTGCATAATTTTGTTCTTAAGACCTTAATTTTCTAAAATGAAAAGCAATTGGATGTAGATTGCCATCTAAATGTTCTTGTTTTAAAACTGCACCAACAGCTTCTTTAGATGTGTCAACAAATACATGACAAGGATATTTTGGATTAAACAAAGTTAAAATTGGCCTTGAAATTAATGCATCTTTTAAATTTTGAAAAGCTATTTGACACTCATTATTCCACTTATAGGGAGTATCTTTTTTTAAATAAATTCGTTTCAGGAGCTCTAATTTTTTCATAATTTTGAATAAATTTATGATATACGTTTAAACTTCCTAAAAATCTTTGTAATTCTTTAACATTTTTAGGGGGTTGTAATTTCTTAATAACCTCGATATTTGTATTGCTGGGTTGATATTTTCCTGCTTGAACCTCATATACTAAAAAATTTATTTTTCTTTAGCCAAATTACACTTAGATTGTTTCAATTTTATATCCTTTTTTTCACATATTTCAAATATAACTTTAAGATGTTCATCAAACTTTAGAGAAAATACTATAACGTCATCAAAATAATTTAAAGCAAACTGAATTTAATACTTGTTTAAAATCTGCCTAAGGGTTCTTTGAAAAACAGCTGGGGAATTTTTCCAACCAAAAGGTAATCTAGTAAATTCATACAAATCAAAATTTGTAGTAAATGCCAATTGTTCAGTATCTTTTTTCATTTAATTTGATATGCCAATAACCTTATGGTAAGTAAAATGTGGAAAATATTTTTGCACTTGTTAATTGATCTAATACAACATCAATTCTAGGAATAGGTTCTGAATCAGTTTTAGTAATTCGATTAAGTTTCCGAAAATCAATACATAATCTAGATTTTGTTCATCTTTTTTAAAAGCTAAAGTCACAGGTGCAGGGTAAGGACTAAAATGAGGGTGTAAGGTTTATCCTAAGGTTTTAACAGTTATCTTTAGTTGAAGCTACTTTCCTATCCCTCCTAATATCAGCTTAAAATTTCCTACCAGAATGTGTTTTTAGAATAACAGTTAATGCAAATGAGTAACAGTGTTATTTAAGTCGAAGTGCCACGGACTTCATTAGAGAGCCAGAGATTCTGACTAGCGTGCATTTGCCTTGTGACTACACTCTCTCTAAGCTATTACTACGCACGACCATATTTCAGGCCCTTGATAGCTTCACCAGTTTAGTTGATATTTACGGGCCAACTACTTAGAATTTTGATAGCTTCAGCTATATCTTTTTGGTTAAGCATTAGTTAAGATTTATTTCTTAGTACTCTTGAGTTCAAGCCCAAGTGGATGCTTTTCTGTATGCTCTGAGAAAGGAGCCGACTGTTAAATTCTTATTTTGAGAAATAAAGGGTAATTAACCCTTCCTGAGTTTACGTCTCTGTTCCTGAACTAAAGTGATTATTCGCTTACCAGTTCACAAGATTCCTACACACTTAGGTGTTAGAGAAATGGTTGGAACCCTAAAAGGGTTTTATTATACCAGCATTTAACAGTTCATCTATTTGCTTTTTAATTTCACTTTTATATCTGGGAAAGGTTCTGTATTGTTGAGAAGCAATAGGTAATTCTGAGGTTAAAATTACTCTTGGAGGTTCCATATTAATACAACCTACATATTTATTTTTAGCAAATATATGATTATAGTTATTTAATTTTTGCAATTGATCATTATCAAATTCATTATTTTCAACCTGATCATAAAAATTTTTAGTACTTATATTATTTTGATATACAAAATTATTCTGAAAAAATTTATCTAGTTGAACACCTTTACTTATCATATGCTTAAATTGATATTCTTCATAATTATTAAAATTTAAATATAATTTAAATAAGGAAACACAAGATGATGATAATAAATAAGTTAAACTAGAATTTACAACATAAAATACTATAGTATTACTAATTTTACCTTTTTTGTACAACTTAATTATTTTAGTCATAAAAAGACTTCCTGCTAATGGACACAGTCAAGTATTAGGATTATTTTATTTTGTACAACCTCAATTTTTGCATCAATAGAATTTAAGACTTTTTCAGAAATTATTTATTTGGGTATCAATGTCAATAACTGCTGGTACTTCTTTTTGATTAATTTGAACATTTATTTTAAAATACAGTCAAAAGTCGTTAATCCGGACCTCAAAGCTACAAACTTTCTGCGCATGCGTCAACACAAATGCGTTGCGCGTGCAGCAATGCAATGCGCGTAATACCTTTACATATGCGCATAATACATTTATGCATGCGCGTTTAATGTACAGCACACGGTATAACCTAAGCTAAAATTACGTATTTCAGTTAATGTTGCAGATTGCGTTGTTCCTTAATCTTCGAATTGGAACCGGCTTATTATTTTTTGCAGACTGTTAGAGCAATTTTATAAAAGTAAGTTCGAACTTTCGATTATTTCAAATAGTATTTCCGATGCTGGATCTACAAAAATGGAAAGCATGTTTCGATGTCCATGAAACAAAAAGTGGAATTGGTGCAAAAAAATGGATAAAGACTCCTTTGATTCTCTAACCATTACGAAATCTGTTTATCAATTTCACGCTGCTCTGTGCGGAGGGGAGGGGGGACGTCGCGGCACGCAATGTATTGGAAGTTGATCTGTCAGAACTATCCTTATCTTCAGAGCAGATGTTATTATTTTATTCCTCTTATAATTTCGGCTTATAATGTATCATCTCGATGTACTCCGTCTTTGATATGATTTAAATCAAATTCCTCGTCATTATAAATATTACGAATACAAATCAAATAGTTTTCTGGTTGCAATTTTCTAATTTCGACTATGCGTAATGTATGCTTTACGCATGCGCGCATTGAAAGAAATGTTTAATAAAGTAAACAAGCACTTTTTTTTTTTTTGTAAATTTTGATACCCTTTATATCCTAATTGCTCTTTATTTCATAAATTACGGTTTCACATTTTTAATTTTATAATTTCTGCATGCCATCTAACCAGATTTAAACTGATGATCTATAATCCGGAATCTCCGGATTAAAGACATTTGACTGTATAAGCATTTTCTGCTTTGCTCAATATGTTGAGAATTTTGATTGTAATAATTTATAGAAAGAAATGATCTATATGGTTAAGTGATTTGCTGAGGGTGGAAATTTCTCCAGACCTGATTATTGTATCTAGGTTTAAAAAATGGTCTTGGAGACCTGGTACTTCGGCTGGTAAAAACTTGGTTGAAACATATTTGATGGTACATTTTGTCCAGGAGTTGGAAAATTTTGTGTTGTTTGAATTTGTTTTATTGACTCTGAGGTAGAACAATTGGAACTAAGAGAAATTTTTCTAGCCAAAGTTATCCATTCCTTAAACTGTATTTACATTTAGCACAGTGAGCAACATCCTCTGCTGCTGAAGAAGTCCCTGATTTAAAGCATCAATTAAGACAGTATCATTTAATTTTGAACTCATAGCACATTAATTCTATTTTTAGTGATGTACACTTCCATCACATTAAAATTACACAATTCTAAGTTGCTCAATAATATTCTGACCATTTCATTACATACCAAAATTTGGTACTATTCGGTTTTGAGGGCCGTAAAAAATCACCAAACTATTGTTGATGCCAGTGCTGCCAAAAATAATTGCGGCAACTCTAAGGCAAGAAAGGAAGTATAATAGTAAATAACTATTTAAGATTGATGTTTTAATCTAGATGAAAGGTTAATTTCATATAATATTTTTTCTTATTATAATTTATATATAAAAGGCTAAACATGACTGAATGGAAGCATAAGCGTAAATAACTATTCAGATCACTATTATAATTTAGTATATAAAAATTGCTAAACATAACTGAATGGATGCCTGCATTACTATTTCGCTACCTAGTTATTGCTAAAGCATAATGTCAGCTCGTTGGTTGTTCAAACATAATTTTCTATAATGAATGATGCCTTTTCTTTGAAAACATTCTCGGTAAAGTGCAGAATCGCCCACTTATTTGTTTGCCGCTTTTTACAAGGGTAAAAACAATTGGATTTTTGTCATTTTTCTTTTACTTTTTAAGTGACAATAGGTCAATGTGTACATAGATAAAGTCAAGGGTGTGTGCAGTGCCATTTTTGTGCAATTCTGGGATTTTTTTTTAAAGTGAAAATAAGTTGATGTATACATGGATACCGAGTATGTGCAATTCTTAAAAACACGTCAAGTAGTGGGTATTCTGCACTTTACTCAAAATTCTATCGCAGACTTTTTGTCATGGGCAATTCCCAAATTGTTATATCCCTAGGATATCAAAAAAAGGATTTAAAAATTAAACTAGTATCTCAAGGGCGTCTTAAGAAATATAGAACTATATAAACTTATGCAATCTGAAATCAGCACGTACGCTAGATTTGGCACGCTGTTAAATGGGCACGCGCATACATTTTCGCTGCAATTTTTTTATGGCCCTCAAAACGGAATAGCACCCAAAATTCTTGGTGCCCATTAAAGAAATAAAAAACATGAAGCAAACTAAAGCTAATAAAAAATACATGATAATACAAAGCTAATAAAACAATATAATACAAAAGCTAATAAAATGATACATATGGTTAACAGACAAAGTCAAAGATTTGAAGGCAGTTCTGAAACAAGGAAGCAGACATTTATAAGTAAGTTATCACTACCTTGATGATAGCAACAAAAGTTTCTATTAGCAGTTAATGAATAAACTGTCAAACAACACTATAGTTTTGAAAGTGTGTTACAAAGCGGTTTTTATTTCAGGAAGTCACAGATTTGTTTCAAATATTTTATATTTCAAACAAAATTAGAGAAATATATATTTTCATCAGAGATATTCAAAATCAAAATTAGAGAATCATCAATCAATCATAAAAATTAGAGAAATATTTACTTTTATCCTTTTTTTCTATTTTTACAAGAAGAGACAGATAACAGGAAAATTCTGAAATTTGCGCTTTCACTGCTTACAATACGTAGGATTGCAATTTTGTTGAATTTTATTATTAATCCTTTGAGCTACCTTAAATCACAACAAAATCAATGATTATTACAACTTTTTGAACATCTCTGAGAAAAATACTGTAAAAATATAAAGACTATGTGAAAAACGAACACCAAAAATTGTTATTTCATATTTTTAATACATAGTTTCATTCACTGATTCTCCTTTTTTAAGCCTACACCTTTATACTGAACCAAACTTAAACTTGGCCCTTTATTTAAAAACCGATTGATGTAATTACATGAAAATAAACACTCTTCTAAAGTTTAGGAAAATGATTTTTCCCCCTTTCAAGACTTTAAAACAAAACACCAATTGTTTAACTGTTAAAATTGTTACATAATAATCTTGAATTGTCAAGTTTGTTGACATCCAAAATACTAATGAAAGGCAGCTCATTTCTAATAATCCTTAATCCTCTCCACTCATATACACATCTGATACAGAAATAAACTTTATTTTTAAATTAAATATGGCTGTTGCTGAAAAAATAAGGAAAAAAATTTATCACATTTAATGCAAAATATAGAACAATCTTAAGTATGAAGAAATTTTAAGTCATTAAAAACGTTAGTCATTAAAAAACTGTGATAAACACGCTGAAACAATCAGCAACACAGCTTTCAGGCTATAACAGTGAAGACAGTTTCACGGCAAAGCGCTAGAGTATAGCTCCAGACTTTGCGTACAGGTGAGATTTATATAGTTTTTGACCTGTCTTCGAGAACATTCAGGGGGTAAACCGGAATGAATTTGTTCCAGAATGTTCTCCCTCCGTCTACGGCATATCGCCAAAATGGTGACTCTGTGACAAATCTGGCAACCCTGCATTTCCTTGCCGTTTTCTGGCAACCCCAAACCTGCTTTACTGGGAAGCTATCTTACCGCACTTGGGCATTTCATAACAGTATTAATGCAACCACCTTGCCACAATTTAGCGAACTTTTACAGAAGAAAACAAATTACATAATTGCAAAAAAATATTTATTACATATATAATTACATGTGTACTTTTGATTAGAAAATAAATCAATAAACCTACTTATTTACTGCACCTGCATTTTATTTTTTTCAGTCAGTAAATCTATTTATAAGCATCTTCTTTTCCTATGTTATGGTGAAAATTTCATAAAAATAACTTCAAGAATAGGCTCAAAACAAATGTTCTCTTTAACAACTCTGCAGCAATTACTACATTTCAGCAGAATTCTACTGCAGTTTTTCCACTGCAGATAAATCCCACAAATGTATACTGAAAAACTGAGTTTAAGAAAAAAAAACAACAAAGATTCATTTACAGAAATTGTTTAGAACTTAATACAACGAAAATGTCAAAATTGCTTGTTAAAAAAATAAAGAGTAGTTATACACATGGTTGCCAGAGTTTGGATCATTCATAAAATTTGATAACTTTTACTAAGAACATAGATACTAAAAATTTATGGCCCCCAGCTTTCCCAATGATGAAAACACTTTTTAGTCTAAAAAACGAACTGGATGTTTTTCTGAAAAGATACTGTATAGCTTGCTTCTAAATCTAGTATAGAACTATTTTGTAGGAATAATAATTATAATGTAAAAATTTAACATTATTTACAACATATTAAATATAATAAATGTACCTGGCCCAGCAGTTACAGCAGCAACTCCAATGGTTCCAGAGATGCGAGCAAAAGCATCTGCAGCAAACACTGCAGTAACCTATGGCCAATAATACAAAGAGAAAATTCTGAATAAATAGTTCAGCAAACAGTGAAATATATGTACAGTTTTTTCACAATGTAGGTTTTATTGCAGTAAATTTGAATTCAGCAGATAATTAACAATTTTAGCTACCTCTTGCCTAGTATCAATCACACGGATACCCAATTTTTCAGAAGCTACAATAAGTGGTGAAATATGCCCTCCAATCAGAGTGAATAAATGGGTAACATTATGAGACTGCAAAATAAAAAGAGCATCACACAAAGAAAAAAAAAAAAATTAGTGATTTAAACGCAAAGCAATAACATCACTTTTAATGACAAATAAAACATAAAAATAAACATAACATGAACATAAAAATTATATTTAAATTTTCTACATAAGTTAATGAAACTCATTTCCATGTGCATAGCAATTCATATGTGCATTGGCATTTGCATCTTGACCAAAGTTTTAGACAGTAGTGTAGCTATCGACAGGCAATATTAAGCAATGTCAAGGGCAAATTAATTTCTGATTTCTGATTATTCAAAATGGTTTTGTTTGTTTTATGTGATTATGGCAAAGCCTCAAGACTATTTGCCTAGGTTGAAGGAAGCCTTTCTGGAGGACTTTCTAAGAGAAACTAGCTCATATACACATTACGGTTCCCAGACAGAAGCCCACTAGACGAAAGCACGCACGACAAAAGCCCACTATGATAATTGCCCACGCAACAAATACCCACAGTAATAAAAGTGCACATTGATAAAAGCCCATACTGATAAAAGCCCACATTGATAAATGCCCACATAGATATAAGCTCATGCTAAGAAAAAGCATACACTGATAAATGTGCACATAATCAAAAGGGACTTATGGTTTTTATTACTATAAAATGTATTTATAATTTTAATTATAATAAATGGAGTATCCAGATCTGAATTTTAATGTCTCAAATATATGTCTGTTTCACTACTTTATTTGTTTAACTTATTAGGTTGAAAGCAAACTTTCTGCTCTCTGATTAAGTAATTAGCTATAATATTTCGATGATAAATCTGAAATTGCATTTTATTATTTATTTACTTATTTAACTTTGGTATGTGTATGTGAAAATGAAAAATATCATTGTGAAGTTTCTCAAATGCTATTTTTAAGGTAATATGGCTGAAATTAAATATAATTATGTTTCATTATAAAAAATATTAACTTTTTAATTAAAAAAACACTTGAATTTTATTTTCTTCCTTCTTAGTTTTCCTTTTAGTTCCTTTTTAGTAGGGTAATATTAAAACAGATAAGCACAATTAAAATTTGGCTAAGAGATATTTTATTCTTTACTTTAGGCTGAGCTTATTATCAAAGTTTAAACATATTTCTCATTGAAAGCTTTTTTGAATGTAACAATTATAATCTGGTGATATTCTAGAAATATTTTCTTTCAGATTTCTGATTTAAATTAAAACTGCCAGCTGAAACCCTGACAGAAAATGAATTAATTCCAAGTGTAACCTCTTAATCTTTCAACTACAGAAATTTGGAATAATGTTTTTAATTTTAATTTTATTTATTTATTTATTTTTGTGGGGAGGATGGAACAACTCTTAGAAGTCAACATATCTAGAAATTTAAGTACAGGCATCTCAATCTATAATAATAAATATGTAGCATTTTATTAGGGTTTGTGAAGATTACAAAGAACTATGCAAATAATAACATCTAATAAAATTTTGTAACTACATGAATATATATAGAGTCATCAGATTCAAAGTTCATCGTTTTTAGATACTAAGTATACATATTATATAAATTCATCATTCATTAATAGTATTATGTATAGTAATAGAAAATTAGTATTAATGTTTCAAATTGCAACTTTTTTAATAATTTGTCTTGCATTTGCTGTATATTTGTTCAAGACGTATGGATATCAGTTATAAAACATGAAAAATACACAGAAAGCAGCTAATCTTATATAACAACCGATTGTAAAAGAAAAATTACAGTTATAGTGCTTTTAAATCTTCCTATTGTAAATAGCCGTTTTCTAATTGACATTAGATTAAATTAATTCCATTATCCATTAGAAAATAATTATAGTGAATTACACTGAAGTGACAAAAGTCATGGGATAGCAATATGCAAATATACAGATGGCAGTAGTATCGCATAGAAAATGTATAAATGCGAAGTGCTTTGGCAGGGCTTTCATTTGTGTTCAAGTTATTCATGTGAAAAGGCTTTGACGTGATTATGGCCACACGACATGAATTAACAGACTTTGAACGCGGAATGGCAGTTGGAGCTAGAAGCATGGGTCATTCCATTTCGGATATTGTTAGGGAATTCAACATTCTGAGATCACAGTGTCAAGAGTGTGCCGAGAGTATCTAATTTCAGGCATAACATCCCACCATGGACAGCGCAGTGGCCAACCACCTGCACTAAACGACCGAGACCAGAGAGAAATCAACGTGGGACGTACGAGGGACGTGTACGATAGGACAGTGCGGCGAAATTTGTCTTCCTTGGGCTATGCCAGCAGAAGACCGACTCGAGTGCCTTTACTGACAGCACGACATCGCCTGCAGCGACTCTCGTGGGCTCGTGAGCATATCGGTTGGTCCCTAAACGAATGGAAAACTGTGGCTTGGTCAGTTGAGTCACGATTTCAGTTGGTAAGAGTTGATGGTAGGGTTCGAGTGTGGCGCAGACCCCACGAAGCCATGGACCCAAGTTGTCAACAAGGCACTGTTCAAGCTGGTGGTTGTTCCATAATGGTCTAAGCTGTTTTTAAATGGCATGGACTCAGTCCTCTGGTGCAAATGAACCGATCATTGGCTGGAAATGGATACCTTCAGCTACTTGGAGATCATTTACAGCAATTCATGGACTTCACGTACTCAAACAACGATGGGATTTTTATGGATGACAATGCGCCATGTCACTGGGCCACAATTGTTCGTGATTGGTTAGAAGAACATTCTGGACAATTCCAGCAAATGATCTGGCCATCTAGATCGCCCGACATGAATCCCATCGAACATTTATGGGACATCATCGAGAGGTCAGTTCGTGCCCAATATGTATATTTATCTATATATTGGCATATATATATTGGTCAGTTCGTGACCAATATATACATGCCCCGTCAACACTTTCACAATTATAGATGTCTATAGAGGCAGCATGGCTCAATATTCCTGCAGGGAACTTCCAACGACTTGTTGAGTCCATGCCATGTCGAGTTGCTGCACTTCGCCGGGCAAAAGGAGGACTGACAAAATATTAGGAGGTATCCCATGACTTTTGTCACTTCAGTGTATATCTATATACGACATTTCTAAGAGGTTGCCTTTTGAAAGAGACCTGTATTTTTGTGAACATAAATAAACATTGCCACTGAATATCACATTTCTAAGACCATCATATCTACAACCAAAATCCTTTAAAACCATGAACGGTCACGTTTATAGAGGACTCACTATATTTTTAATAAAACATGTACATCTTAATTATAAACTTGCTGCATTTTGATTTTCTGTCAAAGCAGAGGAACAGTGGTTCTATTTCTTTAAAAGTAAATGAAATTTAAAAATGGACACTATATGACAAAAATGGAATTAGATTCAAAAACACGTCTCTTGAACATGCCTGAAATTCATTATTCTGCTCGGAATAAATTTATCTAATGGAAATGTTTAATAAATATTAGAACTCAAAGGCTAAGTCAGGTCAATGTAGTAAGAGTCATTTTGTCTGAATATATATTTTCTTTAAGACATAAAATGACTTTTTGAACAATAAAAAATTTTTAAAATGGAAAAGACAGAATAAGTGAAGATGGCAGCTGACGAAACGACACTATTTAGAACTCAGCATGAAAAGAGAAAGGACGAAATGGCACTAAGCCAAGGGAAGGCATGCCTTCATGGAGGACGCTTTAAAGGAAACTCGCTCGTAAACGTGTTATGCAACGGGAAAACCATGAAAGCGCCCATGCAGTCAGCCTTTCCACCGGATTTGAACCCTGGACCGAACTAAAAGTGTTCATCGTTTTTACCATTTGGCTGCTGGTAAGCCTTGTGCCTACATGAAAAGCTTAAGAATTGGATGAATGATGCTTTCTTAATACACAGCTTTTATTTCATCTTTTATTTAATTTTTATTCATCTAACTAATTATTTATTTTTTCCGATATTTGAACTTTTTCTCAGATTTATTTTCAAGGGAACAATGGCTTGAAAGTTTTGCGAATCGAAAGCAAATGATTAAGTCTTAGATGAGATACATTCTACCAATCAAAAAATTTTTTTCACATTTAGAATGCAATGTATGTAAGTTGTTATACATACTGCTTATCTCAACAAATGCTCAATTTTTTTTTTTTTTTTTCTTTGTTGAAATCAATAGAAATTTTTTTTGTGAAACTAACCCCAATAATTATTTAATTTTTATGTTTGAATGTTAGCTTCAAGAATGGAGCTAACAAACAAATTATAAGATCTAATTGTTCACGGGAGCATGCAAATTGTCAATGACCTTCTGTAAGATCGCTGGTGACTTCTTACTAGTCAGCAAAGTTAATTATGATTTACTGTTAATCGCATTTACTGTTAATCCAAAATGGATTAAATTATTCTTCCAAATATTTTAAAATTAAAACTCGATTATCAGAAAGCAAAATTAGTTTCTCCTCTTCATTCAAAGTTAATTCAAATACAGAAGGTCTTCGGCACCAAAATCGGCTTGGATACCACAATTGGTGTGCTTATTAATGTCTCAAAAACCGAATTTCGCCAATTCCCATGTGTACCGTATACTAAGATTACATTATAATTTTTATGACTTGTATATACATTTCTAAAATTTGGTGGCACACTTTAAGAATTTGGAGGTACACAAAAGTGCCACGGCACAGTGGTTGAGAATCACTGATCTAGGCGAAATAATATTTAACATGTAATAACAGCATAAAACTCACAAAAAAAGTGTTCCAGTGAAATCCAGTTTCTAAATGCTCTTTAAATTTGTTTCACTGAAAGTTTTTATATATAAATAATTACAGTAAATTAAAATAAATTGTTTTTTAAGCGTTTACAGTTAATCAAGTAACATATTTTTTATTGAAATAAAATTTATTTTTAATGTGCAAGATTACTTTTCTTACAATGCTGGGCTCATGGTTCTTAAATTCTCTTGTTCTTGAGTTCAGAAACCTTCGTTAGTAATATCATTCAAATAGTTAAATGCGT